GTTACCACCTGCTAAAAAAGTGTAATTAAATTAATACGCGGAAAAGTAGCCTGGCACTCTAGCAAAAGAGCAGATGAGCTCAAGCAACGACTGTTGACAACTGGCATTGCTTGAGCTAATCTGCTCTTTTTCTCACTTGCTCACTTTGGTGAATACCACTAATATGTTTTAATAAAAAATGCACATCCTTTCATTTGCAGTTTTCTATCTTATGCAAATATATTGAGTTTCTTTAATTTAAGCTTTAAATTATTCACCTCTTTACAGGAATGATTCGGAATTCAATTTAACAATTAATATCGCTGCCAAGTTCTGCTCCGACAAATTGTATTGCAAATCGCTAAGAATATGCTTAGTGCTGAGAACGCGTGTTCTACACTGACTTGTGTCGCTGGCACTTGATGTATAATACATGCCAGATCTCCTAGTCGGGGATATATACATTTTTTACTCTCCCAGTAATCCATAAGGTCCGTATCAACATCAATGCGCTTCTCCTTATAGGGGCCTATTTCCATAAATGCTTTTCGAACGTAAAAAGTAAAAATCACGTTTACTCTTTTATATTTGACTGAAAAAATAAAAGTCAAATTTTAACTTTCATTTTTGACCGAAAAAACAAAAGTCATATTTTGACTTTTATATTTGACCGAAAAAATATGTCAATTGGAAACTTTTATTTTTGACTGAAAACATATCGGTGAAAAAATAACGATTATTTGTTCACTTTTTTGATAAAAAGCATAACCGTTACGGTCCCGGGAAAAAATAATTTTAAATTCTTGAAATTTCACTCATGAGAAATATCATAAATGTTGATATTTCAGTGCTCATGCGTGAACAATTCTGACCCCTGCTTTTTAAATTAAAGTTGCCAGAATTGCCCTGTAAACATACGTAATTGTACTATAAGATATGTAAATATCAAAAATTGGCATAAGTTAAAAATTTCTTTATTTTTTGCAGGCCCTGGTGGTTTCTCAGAATATATACTTTACAGAAAATCGTGGGAATCAAAAGGATTTGGATTCACTTTTCGAGGACCTAATGACTAAGCTCGATAAATTTTTTGCAGGATCGCCAGAATCATTCGATACCTTTTATGGAATAAGAAAAGATGGAAATATATTCTTTAAAGACAATCAAGATTCTTTCGCTGAATACGTTTTGAAGCATTGTAGAACTGGTGTTCATTTTGTGATGGCGGATGGCGGATTCTCAGTCGAAGGGCAAGAAAATATTCAGGAAATACTTTCCAAGCAATTATATCTCTGCCAGTGCCTAATGGCATTAAAAATTCTTCGAGAAAATGGTAGTTTTTTGTGCAAGATGTTTGATTTGTTCACTCCATTTAGTGTAGGTCTTGTATATTTGATGTATAAATGTTTTGATCGGATATCTATTTTGAAGCCCAATAGCAGTAGACCAGCAAATTCAGAGAGATATTTAGTTTGTAAATGGAAGAAAGCAAAAATCGAATCCGTTTGTAAATATTTGGATCACGTGAATGATATCTTTAATGAGGCTAAAGGAGATGTTTTAGAAATTGTCAACCGAGACGACATTATGAGAGACAAAAAATTTTCTAAATTTAATTGTCAGTAGTAATAATGAAATTGGAAAAAACCAAATTATAGGTCTGAAAAAGATAGCGGTATATTGTAGAAACACACAACTGAGGGAAACAAAGCAATCAGAAATCCGTAAGCGATGTCTTGAGTTGTGGAGTCTTCCAGATAAACTTAGACAAGCACCAGAGTCCAAGTCTTCCGAAAAGCTCCTTGAGGAGATTCTAGGAGATTGGAACGATAAACTTCTATTTAATTCTTTGCCCACTGAACTGTATGGTGTCGAATACCTGCAAAACAGTATAAACAGCATTTACGACTGGTATTTTGTTCCAATTGGTAGAGGTGAAACTAATATTAATACTTGCAGTATGTTTTTATGTAAGTCTAAAGGCTGTTTACTTCGATATACCGATAGTAAGAAATGGGAACCTGTGGAGTACATTTTTGAAGTATCTCCTAGATCTATTTTTTATGGAGAAATTGTGTACGAATATACTGCTGAGGGTAGAACACAAACGCGCATCTGTGCTCTACATATAATAGATGCTATCATACTAGGTGGAACAGACGTAAGGCGTTTCAAACTTTCTGAACGTGTTCGATTATGTCAAAAGTATGCTCTTAGTGTTAATAAACCATACAAAGAAGGAAATTCGGGTCCCATTCGAAGTAAATCTTTATAATATCTTATCTTACTAATATTGTAAATGTGAAAGTTTGTATGTTTGGATGTTTGGGAAATCATCACGCG